GTAAATAATTGTTAATTCTTCAAGGTAAAAAGAGGACAAGGTCTGAAATGTTCACAATGACATTAAGTCAGTGTCCTGTTTTGAGATGAACATGAATGACACTAAACGGAGGTGTTTGTCACTAAGACCTTTGCAGATGCAGTTTGTCCATGAATTGTCAAGAATTCAGAGGCTTTTCTGCAGAACAACTGTATCAGTTCTTTTTTTCAGGTTTCACTGGACTGTTCAAAAGCGTTTTCAGGAAAGGCATAGGATGAGCTGAGTAGCTTCTCTTTCAGCAGTCTGTATCCCAACTGATCTTAAAAAATATCTATAAGAAAAGCATAGACCCAGCCATGTAATTTCCAGCCAATGAGTTTTAGCAACTAGCCAAAGCCAGATTAATTTCAAGAAGTAAATTTATAAAACATGTCACAATGTTCTTCCAGTGGCCCTTTTTAAACAAAATGTTCAGATATCTAAATGCGCCATTTTCCTCAATCCATTAACATAAATCTTAAAAACATTAATAATGAAGCATCTTTGTAAAATACACAGGAATAGGATATTTGGCACAAGCAATGCATATTCCACACAAGCTTCTCCCAACAGGTCTCATGGGATTAAGAAATCTCTTTCGAACTCCCTATTTGATTTCTTGGTGACTATCTTACATTAACAAACTCTAGTTATACTCTTCATCTCAACAGAAAACATTCTGTCTAGATCCACTATAATATTATGAAGGCTGTTGATAAAGACCTCTAATATATCACCTCACAGCTGCCTTTTGAAATATTAAGTAATTATTTCACTTCAGTACTTAGAAGAGAGTTAAAATAAGTAGACATGTAATTCTTTGAGATCGTAATGAGACAAGTCTGGTTAAAATTTAAAAAATACATTGGACAAACTAAACAAACTCAGAGGATATGATCCCTGGTCCAGATGGATTGCATCCATATATTGAAAAGGTCTGAAGAAGAGAAAGCAGAAGCAATGCATGTTTAATAATTCATTTGAAAATGTTGTCGTGTCAAAGTACTGGTAACTAGCCAATGTAATTCCATATTTATGAGGGGGGGGTCAGAACAATGTCAAAGAATAATCGATCAATCAGTTTAATATAAGTGCTAAGAAAAGTTGAAGAATAGAAGAATGTCTGGAACGAAAGAAGAGATACAGCCTGTCAGTCTTTTTCTGCTAAGTATATTCACATTTCTAGAATCATCTTTAGAAATATTCTCTGTGCCTTCTCCAATACCTCTGTATCCTTTTTCATAATAGGGTGACCAGAACAGTAGTATGTTGTACTATACCTTTAACTAAAGTTAGATATAGATTTAGCATAACCTCTCCACTTTTCAACTCCAACCATCTAAAAATTAAAGCTAGAGCATGGTTTGCTTTTTTTTCTACTGACCTCATATTTTAAGTGATTGGTGTATTTTGTTTGCAGGGATCACTTTGCTCCTCCTTCCCACCTAGACTTGTACCTTCTAAGTAGTAAGTAATCCCTGTATTCTTCCTATCAAAACATAGTGTGTCACATTCATCTTTGTTGAACCTCATTTACCAAGCATGTTCCCATTCTGCAAATTTATTAATGTGCTTACTATAATTTGTTGTAATCTTCCTCATTATTGTTATCCATTCAATTTAATGTCATTCACAAATTTAGAAATTGTATTCTGATTCCAAATTTCAGATGTCTTATGTAAATTGTAAACAGCTTTGGTCCCAGCACTAATTCTTGTGGAACAGCCCTGCCCATCTTCTGCCACTTTGAACAACTGCCCTTTATTCACAATCGCTCTCTTCTATTTTCAAACTGATAATCCATTCTGTCACTTGATTCCTGACTCCACATTCACATTCATTAATCTGTTGTGGGGTACCTTATCAAAGAGCTTTTGAAATGTCAGCTAGATTACGTCTGTTGCATTGCCATTGCCAAATTTCAATGTCATCTCCCAAAAAATTCAATAAGGTTGGTCATGCAAATTTTTTCCTTTGGAAAATGATTGCTGACTATTCAATGTTATATTTTTCTTACCACTTATATTAAGCCAATTGATCGATTATTCCTTGGCATTGTTCTGTCTCCCCTTTCATAAATCTAAAATTACATTGGCTAGTCACCAGTCCTCTGACACCACAACATTTTCAAATGAATTATAAAACATATATTTTCTCTGCTTTCCCTTCTTCAGATTTTTTAAAAGATATGAATGCAATCCAATTGGACTAGGGATCATACCCTCAGAGTTCGTTTAATTTGCCCAATGTAAATTTTAACTAAACTTATTATAATTTCAATGAATATCATGTCTGCTTATTTTAACTCTCTTGCAAGTACTGAAGTGAAATAATTACTTAATATTTCAACCATATCTCTGTTGTTGCATTTGGTATCTCTTCATGATTCTATTCCCATCATAGCCTCCCTGTTTTATTATTGATTTGCCAGTAAAATATTTTATTACTGTATGTTATATTCTTTGATAAGTTAGTTTTATGGTTCTACTCTGTCTTTACATTTACTTCTCATTTAATCTCTTGATATTCATGCCAATCATACATGTCCCTGCTGTTTTTGTAATTAATTCATGCCTCTTTCTAAAACTCAAACTCGCTTCTTATGTCACTATTCATCGAAGATATCCCACACCTATTTGAGATGTTTCCCATTATTCCAGGGTAGAACAGAGTTATGTGCTCCCCCTCCCATATTGTCCTCTTGTTGTGAATCTAGTGACCTGCAGTGCAATCACATGCCTAGGTCAGTGTGTTCTCGCTCGCTCTCGCGCTCTCTCTCTCGCTCTCTCTCTCGCTCTCTGTCTCTCTCTCTCTCTCTCACTCTCACACACACACACACAAACACACACACACATTCTCTCTCTTCCCCCCCCCCTCACTCACACTCTCTCACACGCACACACTTACTCTCTGTCCCTCATGCATACACACGTATGTAATTCTGTGGGGTGAATTTGCATTTGCAGATGCATCTACTTTGTTCAAAAACACACAAGTTATAGACAGTCAGTCAATGTGGCGTTTTATAAATTTCGACTTTAGAAATAAAACCAGTCTGACTCCAAACAGATTCTAGACAAGACCTCACACCTAACATGCATTGTCTGACCTAAAATGTCACCTCTTCTTTACACTTAAAAAGCATCTATGTCTCTAAGGGCAGTTACTTGAAAGAAATTCGGGGATTTACATTTACATATTAATCAATTAAAACCTTCTAACTGATTAAAGATCTAACAACACCTTAAGTTTGTTTAATGCATCCTCACCAGTTGTGTGACCCTTTGATCTTTTATTTATAAATTCTGTGTCGGATGCCACCTCTCTCACTAACACCTAAAGAAGGAGCAAAGCTGCAAAAGCTTGTGTTTTCAAATAAACCTGTTGGACTATAACCTGGTGTCGTGTGATTTCTGACCTTGTCCACCCCAGTCTAACACCGGCACCTCCGCATCATTTCCACAATATTGGTTCCAATTGACCACTTCCAACTTCAATGCAAAGAAATCTTCTTGTGGACCACTGATAAGTGACTCAAAAAACTGACTTTTTTTGCTGTTTGCTATTTACCTTGAAGAAGAACTTCTTGATATACCTAAATTTATTTACTTAGAGTTAAGCTGTTTCGTCTCAACGGTATTTGTAAATTAGTTTGGAATAATCATTTGGATTGTTCTCTAAACAATCCATTGAATTACCTGCCTCAACAAAATCATTTCGTTGATGTCATTATTCATATGTGAAAGCCAAGTTTTTCTAGTGTTTCCCTCATAACTCTAAGACTGGAAAGCAATTTTGAGGCACTTCTTTACACCGCCAGGATTGCTTAAATGTTTGCCTGTGTTTCAGTGACCAGAGGTGGATATAGGTGTGAACTGCTTAGATTACCATGCATATTGAGCATAATTATTTTGTCATTGGTACTTTGGTCGTACAGTTGAGCTTTCAACATTTTACAGCATCTTAAGCTTCTTCAAAGTCTTTCATGAATTGTGAATATCATCTATTATTTTGTCATATGTAGCACTTCAAAGTTGACCACACTTAAATTTACCTGCCATTGACCTGTTCATTTTCATATTTTTCCAACACATTCTGTAAATTTTCTGCTTCTTATTTCAATCTACTAGCTCACCTTCAGTGTCAGTTTTTAAGCATTTTTAAATTTGACTAATTTGCACTGACTATCTGAATCTGAGTCATGCATATAAATTAGGAACCATTGTGCTCACAACATCAAACATTAAAATACTCAAGTATGCTATTTCATATTTCTTTTCCCATCCTAACACACATCTGCTACCTTTATGACAATTTCTTATTCACTCCTAGTACTTCACCTGAATCTTAACAATTTCTACTTTGTAAATGGTCCATTGTGTGGAACTTTTGCACAGCGTTTTAGAAATCTATGTTCACTGTTACAGGGCATTGCACATTTGATTGGATGCAATTATTTAACAGTGAAGAATGTTCATCAGCCAGAATCTATGATGGTGGACTAAATTATTGTTGTAGAGATATTCTGCTGTCTTACTCTCTTTTATCAGTTCCAGTTGAAGTAAAATTAATGTGCCTAAAGTTGTCTGTGTCTTTTTTAAACCAACCTTTTTGAAAATGTAGAGATTCTATGATTCTATAAATTCTCAAGTGACAATAACATATTGTATATGTTTATTACCTGAGAAGTGCCTAGGAGGTTTTATCACATTGAAGGTGCCTTATAAAAGCAAGATGCTATTATATTCAACCTTTGTTTTAAACTTATTTGCTGACTTTATGGTTCTCACCTCATTTCTAACTTCTCTTTACACTTGAGCTTTGGCACTAATGTCTAACACCGTAAATCAGCCCTTAATAAAGTTAGCTTGTTTTTCTAGTGCTGCATTTCGACCGAATCTGTAAACCATTATGTGCTTCCAAGAGAGTGCAGAATTGTAGTGACTGATATAAATGAAAATTACTCCTCTGTTTTACTTTAGACCAACAGACCAACCGTGGAACAGCCAGTGCACGTAGTGTTAGAACCCAAGACATTTCTCACATTGCTTTCGGATCAAAAGTACTTGGACCACCTCCAACCAGTGGCAGAAAAGCTGGGACAACAGGATCTAAAGATGTAAGTAGCTGTTCCATGATATTTGATTTTGTATTTTTTCTTACTTCAAATGATATTTTGCTCACCAGATTGTGCTCCCAAGCTTTCTAAGACTAATATTCTATCCAAGTTATTGTTTGTATTTGCGTTAGGGTGTTGGGTGCAGGAAGCAGCCTCAATGTCGCTTCCTCTGAGGCCTTGATACTTTCTTTATCCGAGGTTTTGAAGGTGCAATATGGGGAAGCTGGGTGATACTCAACAGAATTCATGGAGAAGCTGGCTGTAGCTGCATGACACATGACAGAGAAGACATCGGGCCCATGGTTAGAAGTGGTGTGATGAATGAGGCTGACAGCTGGTTTAGTGTGAGAGTTGCAGCGGAATGAAGAATGATAGTTATTCAGATTTCAAGACGTGAATGTCTGTGCGTCCTTGCTGGAACGGTCTCTGTCTTCCCCTGTTGAGCATCCCCTGACACACACACTGACACTCACTCTCCTATCATTAACTGTTTTCTCCTATAATGAGAGAAGAAGAGGGATTGGCTCGGTTTAAAGTAGGTGGCATGGCTTTTAATGCTGGTGCAGGAGGTGAGGTGTTCTGAGGGAATGATAGTGCAGAGGGCATGCAGTCTGTCTTCACATGTTTTCTTCTCTTATTTGCTTTTCAACAAACCTCTCAACCTTTTATGTTCAGTCTAATTCTGGGTTGTATTTCCTGCCTGGCATCTATCATAAGCACACTTTTTCCTCTTGGCAATAATTTCTGCCTGCATTTTCATCCAGGGACCTCTGGATTTATTTGCTTGCACTTTTCCTACCAAGAGAACTATACCTTGATTGTGCCTGAATCATCTCTGCTTTGACAGTGTCTCATTGTTCAAGCTACTGTTTTTTTTCTGCCATTGTTTAACTCAAGGTAATTCAACCCAGATCCATTCTTACCCCTTTGATGTTGGCTTTCTCCCAAATTATTCTTATTCTGGATTTTTCCTTGTCTCTTTCTATGCTTATCCTAAACCTTATGACACTGTGATCACCATCCCCTAAACATTCTCCCACTGACACTTAATCGACTTGGCCCACTTCATTCCCAAGAACCCAGCGTAGCAATTCTTCCTTTCTTTTTGGACTGGGAGCACACTGATGTAGAACATTCTCTTGAATACATCTAGCAACATTTGTTCCTGTCTTTACACTATTACTTTCCCAGTCTATATTTGGATAATTAGAGTCATCTATTATAGCTTTATAATTCTTATACTTTGCCATAATTACCTTTGCAAATTTGTTCAGCTACATCCTTCCCATTATTTGATGTCCTATACACTACACCAAGCAATGTAATTGTATCTTTTTTTCCCTTAACTTTAGCCAAATTAGTTTTTTTTTGTTATTTCTGAGGCATCCTCTTTTTCTGAAAATATAATGCTCTCATTAATCAATACTGCCACTCTTCCATTTCATTATTTCCTATCTTTCCTGAACATCTTAATCCCAGGAATATTTAATATCCAGTTCTGCCCTCCATTGATCCAGGTCATTGTTGTATCCATATTTCCACAAGACACTGCACCTGCAATTCAGCAATTTCGTTTATCACACTCTTTGCATTTACATACAATAATCCTGATTTAGATGTCATTATTTTCTCCCTTTGACAGAGGAGCAGAAGTAGGCAGTTCAGCCCATCAAGTCTACTTTGCTATTCAATGAGATCATGGTTGACCTGATAACACTCAACTCCACTTTCTTGCCTTTTCCCTATAATTGTTGATTTTCAGACTGATTAAAAATCTAACTATCTCAGCCTTGAAACTCTAATGCCATAGCCTTGAAAGCCATCTGCAGTAAAAATATGCCAAAGATTCACTATCTTTTATATTCACTTGTGGGACATGGGCATCGCTGGCTGGCCAGTATTCATTGCCTGTCCATAACTGGCCTTGAGAAAGTGGTGGTGAGCTGCCTTCTTGAACTGCCCTTGTCCATGTGCTGTAGGTAGACCCACAATGCCTTTAGGGAGGGAATTCCAGCATTTTGACCCAGCAACAGTGAAGAAACAGTAGTCTATTTCCAACACAGGATGGTGAGTGGCTTGCAAGAGAAGTTGCAGGTGGTAGAGTTCCTATGTATCTGCAGCCCTGTCCTTCTCAATGGAAGTGGTCATGGGTTTGGAAGGTTCTGTCTAAGTATCTTTGGTGAATTTCTGCAGTGCATCTTGTAAATAGCGGGAGACAATGGCCTAGTGTATCATCTCTAGACTATTACTGCAGTAACTCAGCTAATGTTCTGGGGACCTGGGTTCGAATGCTGCAAAGGCAGATGATGGTATTTAAATTCCATTTTAAAAATCTGGAATTAAGAATCTGCTGATGACCACAAAATTATTGTTGATTGTCGAAAAACCCATCTGGCTTATTGATGTCCTTCAGGAAGGAAATCTGCCATCCTCACCTGGTCTGGCCTACATGTGACTCCAGTGCCACAGAAATGTGCTTGACTCTCAACTACCCTCTGAAATGGCCTAACAAGTCACCCAGTTGTATCAATCACTACAAAGTCTCAACAGCAAAATGAAACCAGACGGACCACTTGCGACAACCTGAGCACCATAAACAACAATGGCAGAAGAGCCTGTAGAGCTTGCAAAGTCCTCCTTACTAATATCAGGGGGTTAGTACCAAACAACCCTGAGAGAAGAAATTCCTTGTTATCTCTACCTTAAATTTGCAACCCCTTATTCTGAGATTGCCCTCTGGTCCTAGACTCTTTCACAAAGGGAAACAACTTTACATTCTATTCTGTTAAGACCCCTTAGAATTCTATATGTTTCACTGAGGTCGCCTCTCATTCTTCTAAATTTCAATGAGTGCAGGCACAAACTACTCAACCTGTCCTCAAAAAACACTCCCTGCCTACCCAGGATCAGCCCAGTGAAAATTCTCTGGATTGCCTCCCATGTTAGTTATTCCTTGGATAAGGAGCCCAAAACGGTTTGCAGTATTCCAGATGTGATTTAACTGGGCCTTGAATTGTTTTATGCAAAAACAATCTACTTCTATACTTAAATCTCTTCAAAATAAAAGCCAGTATTCCATTCACTTTCCCTATTACCTGCTTAATTTGGATGCCAGCTTAATGTGAGGACTTCCAAATTCTTCTGTTCTGTAGCTTTCTGCAGTGTTTTTTTTCCATTTAAATTATATTTGGCTCCTCTATTTTTCCAGCCAAAGTGCATACCTTACATTGTCCCACATATATTCCATCTACCAAGACTTTGCCCACTCAATCCCTCTGCAAACTTTTTGTGTTATTCTTCCCACCTATTTTTGTGTCATCCACAAACTTGGCTATTGTACATTCACTTTCCTCATCCAAGTCATTAATATATATTGTAAATGTTTGTGGCCCAGCATTGATTCCTGAGGTCCTCCACTAGTTACAGGTTGCCATCCTGAAAATGCTTCCCTTGTGATGGAAGGTGTTATGAAGCAGCACCTGCTCGGTAATAACCTGCTTAGTGTAGCCCAGTTTGGATTTCGCCAAGGCCACTCAGCTCCTAACCTCATTACAGCCTTTGTTCAAACGTGGAAAAAAGAGTTAAATTCCAGTGATATTATTTGATAGTACTCTTGTGAATCATCATTTAATTTTAAAGGTGCCTTACAATTACAAGCTTCTTGTTGATTTTGAAAATGCTACAAGAGTTGCAAACTGGGAATAATGAGACGATGATAAAATTTTCTCGCAGAAGCTGGAAAAAATATAGAAAGAAGGAAATGACAATGTAACAAAGAGAGTGATAGGCAGAACAGGATCAAATTTAGCGTAAGGAAGAAAAGTAAGGAGATAGGGAAGAACAAAGAACACTAGAGTCTTTGAAAGAAAAGCTACTTTACAACCTCTTGATTTTTCTTTGTGACTCTTTGGCTGGCTTTGGTATTGTTATGATTGTTATCTCTTTGCTTCTATGTGACCAAATTTATCTTTGAATATTTTAATCCATGAATGACATTACATTTACTAGTTTTAATTAAACTCTGTCAAATTAATATTCTTTTAACCAATAGCATATTTCTAAACTGATGCAAGATAAGTTTGGTTCATTTCCTGGTTTTAATGCTTTAGTTATCAGTCTTGATGGATAACAAAACAGCCAGATCGTCCTACCAACCTCATTATAATAAAGATGCCATATCAGAAAGGTTGACTGGCAGATCAGAAAGACGGACTTCAAGTCGACCAGAACCAGCTAATCAAATAAACAAAGGAAATATTTGCTTCACAACGCAAACATCTGGGGCTGTTTGTTTGGGTAAGAAACAATAAATAGTAGAAACCTTTAAGTGTCACAATTAAATCCAGAAGAATCACAAGTAGCGACATTGAGTGTCCATAGTATGAGTTTTCTCCCAATCAATGCTTGATGTTTTGATGCAGTATTTTTCCAACAATTTTACCTCCATACGCATTGATTTTCCTTTTACGAAGTATCCTATGTGAGGTTTCCTATGTGCTTGCTATGTTTACAGGTGTTTCCTCTACTGTAACTTTTTTGACTTAAAATGCGTTTAAACAATGGATTCGTTGTTCATTTTCCAATTCTTTTCATGGATTATGCTACATCTTTAGCATATTTATGTTTATTTGCTTTTTACCATCACCTTCCATTTCCAAAGGCCAAACTGTCCCCATCCCCTCACACAATCTTAATTTGTTTCAACTTTGATTTGTGTCCTATGCTGAAAAATGTCCAGTAAATTCATTGTCCAGTTCCCCTGATGATAGACTCTTGTGATTTCCTAGTTTGATTATTCCACTATTGGCGGGCGTGCCTTCAGCTGTCTATTTCCCAGGAGCTCCCTTTCCTCTTTTAAAACATCCCTTAAAACTTGCTTCTCTAAACAAGAGATAGTAAGAACTGCTGATGCTGGAGTCAGAGATAACACAGTGTGGAGCTGCAGGAACACAGCAGGCCAGGCAGCATCAGAGGAGCAGGAAAGTTGACGTTTCGAGTCAGGACCCTTCTTCAGAAAATGAAGAATTTTCTGAAGAAGAGTCCCGACCCGAAATGTCAACTTTCCTACTCCTCTGATACTGCCTGGCCTGCTGTGTTCCTCCAGCTCCACATTGTGTTTTCTCTAAACAAGATTTTGGTCAACTGACCCAGTGGTTTCTTTTAAGATGTAGTGTCAAATTTAATTAGTTTTTGTGAATTAACATGGGATATTTTATTCAAAATACACAAAAGGCCCTATATAATTTTACCACTTCATTGCTAACGTTCACTGCCTCCCTGTATAAAGGGCAATTGACCTGAAAATCTATAAAATCTTTACAAACAAGAATATAAGAAAATAATAGATGGGAGCAGGTATAGACAACATAGCCTGCCAACCCTACCATTCAATATGATCTTGGCTGATCTTCAGCTTTAACTCACTTTCCCATTCACAGTTAATATTCTTTAAATCCCTGAAAGTCCAAAAATGTTTTATTTTGAGCATACTTAAGATGGGGTATCCACAACCCTCTGGAGTGGAGATTTCCTAAGATTCATAATGGTCTGAGTAAATACAATTCTCATCTCAATCCAAAATGTTTGCACTGCTCATCCTGCAACTGTGCCTCTGTGATCTTGATACCCAAGGCAGGGGGAACAAACTTATGGGGTCCATCCTGTCAAACGCCTTCCGAATCTTGTTTGTTCCAATGACAGCATCTCTTGTTCTTCCAAACTTCCTAGGGAATAAGTCCATTTTACCCAACCTCTCATCCAAGGAAACTCTGTAGTGAACCTTTGCTGTTCTATCTAAAATGCAAAAATACCCCCCGCCGTTAGATTTGGAGAATAAGCCCTGGGTTTTGGCTCCCAAATTACCTGAACATTGGTCTGGAGGCAGGATTTTGGAATTTAGAATCAGTCTGGCACACCAGGACTTATCAGTGGCAGCCTCAGGCTGTTGAATACTGAAGTGGGCTGCAAAGTAAATCCGCCTTGATTCTTTGCATTTTTACCAAATTGTTTCATTAAATTTTATGCTCTCCAACTCAATGCTGATACTGCATTTACTCACTCCCTGTGTCATATCCATTCCCTACTCAAACTCATGCCAATCCACCCACTACCAACTTTGGCCTTTTACACTATTCGTGTCAATTCACCCATTATCCACCTTGAAAAACCTCAGCAGCACTGTTGAGATGAAACAAAATAGAGGCATAAGTATATATTGGAACATTTACTATATCGAAAAAAACACACCTAGTCATGTAGATCCATGCAAAGTATTTGTATTCTCAAGTGCTCAATCCTTATGTAAATAAATATACTTCTATCCGTAACCTCACATCAAAGGAAACTAATTGTTTAATAACCTCTTTGACTTCTCAATCAAACTGTGAACTGAATGCATGTAGCATTCACAACAATGTGGATAAATGAACAGCACAAATAGAAGTAAACAGATAAGATCTAATGGCCATTATGGAGATGTGGCTGCAGGGTGTCCAAAGCTGAGAACTGAATCTTCTAAGGCTTTCACCATCAAGGAAGAAGTAGCACCATTGATAAAGGATCATGTCAATTAAGAATCAATTTAAATCTAGACCAGGAAAACTTAATTAGCACAAAAATAAAACAAAGAACTGTGGATGCTGGAAATCTGAAGCAAAAACAGAATTTGCTGGAGAAACTCAGTAGGTCTGGTTGCATCTGTGGAGAGAAAACAGAGTCAACATTTCAAATGACTTTTCTTAAGGGTCTCTCAGTTCTGACAAAGCATCACTGGACTCAAAATGTTAACTCTGTGTTCTCTCCACTGATGCTCCTTGGGCAGACAAATTCTAGAAATGTAGATTAGATAACTTTTAGAACAATATGTTGAGAAATGAACTAGAGAATTAACTATTATTATCTGATATTGTGCAATAAGAAAGGGCTAATTAATGGCAGAATGACTGTAATATTTGAAAGAATTTGGCATAAAGTCTGAAAGTGAAGTAGTTCCATCAGAAACTTGGGCAGAATTTTCCTGGACCCTGAATAATGTGGCCAATAGCAAGTCAGTTGGAAAGCTATGGTGAGAGTGGAAACATTAGATTCTCAACATGGAGATTTAAAAAGTCTGATTTGGTGCCTCAGGTTTGAATGACTAGATGTGAATCTCACTAATCAGTGACAAAAGACATATTTAGAATCATGGAATTCCTACAATGCAGAAAGAGGCCATCCAGCTCATCAAATCTTCACTCATCTTCTGAAAAACATCCCATCCGGACCCACAACTCCTCCTCCCACCTATCCCTGTAACCTTATATGTTCTTTTTTAACCATGGCTAACCCACAAGCTGCATACAATTTTTAGCATTACCAATCCACCTAACCTGCACATCTTTGGACTGTAAGAGGAAACCAGAGCACCCAGAAGAAACCTGCACAGACACGGAGAGAACATACGAGCTCCATACAGTCACTCAAGGCTGGAACCAAAATAGAGTCCCTGGCACTGTGAGACAGCAGTGCTAACCACTATGCCATCGTGATGCTATTTGCATGTGTTAATATCACATCATTACCTAATCTCACCTCATGTATATGCAGTTTGTTTTTAACTCAAGCAGTGGCAAAAAACCAGACAGCGACAATTCCCGCCATAAAAATCTGGATGTATATCTGGCAACTGCAGGTTATTGATATCTTCTCTGGGTGTCCATCTTGACCAGATTTCACCAACATCTCACAGCATTCTCAATGTACAGCAACTGCCTACATCTGCCATTGAAAGAGGTTGACACCGTACAAGCACCAGCTGCAGCACGTCTCTGTCTCACTTATTTGTTCCACTTCAACATTGTACTTTGGAGCTCACTTACATCATACACTGCAGTAATGCTGCCAGGGCATTTAGCATGCTGGGTCAGGCACCCAGATCATGCAGAAAAACTGCATGTACCTCAGGGCTGTAAATTTGCTTTCTTGGTACCCATTCATTTTGCACCTAAAGTTTTTGAGAAGATTTGTAGCTCAGGTTATGCATGAGGTTGTAGACTTGCTCACTGAGCCAGTGGGTTTGGTTGCAAACATTTTGTCACCCTGCTAGGTAACAACGTCAGTGCGCCTCCGGTGAAGCGTTGGTGTTCTGTCCCGCTTGTTATTTATATGCCTCAGTTCGTTGGGGTGTTTGGTACCACTTCCAGTTCTATTTCTCAGTGGTTTGTACACAGGGTCTAATTGAATGTGTTTGTTAATGAAGTTCTGGTCAGAATACCAGGCCTCTAGGAATTCCCAGGCGTGTATCTGTTTGGCTTGTGTGATTATGGATGTGTTGTTCCAGTCGAATTGATGTCCGTCTTTGTCCGTGTGTAGTGAGACAAGTGAGAATTGTTCATGTCTCTTGGTGGCTAGTTGGTGTTCGTGTATCCGTATTGTCAGTTTTCTTCTGGTTTGGCTTCGTTAGTGTTTCTCACAGTCCTTGTGTGGTATTTTGTATATTATGCCAGTGTATTATACCTAAAACCAGATCGCCAGGGAATTCCTGGAGGCCTCAGTCAAATCAAGATGGACTATCTACTGCAAGGGTTTTTTGAGGGTGTAACTAGCAGAATTGATAAAGAGAAACCAGTAAGTGTGGTGTGTTTAGATTTCCAGAACAGTTTAAATAAGGTCACATATGCGATGCTAGGAAACAAAACTGGAGTACATGGGATTAAGGGCAATATGTTGACATGGATTGAGAACAAAAACCGAAAGAGCTGTGGATGCTGTAAATCAGGAACAAAAACAAAGTTGTTGGAAAAGCTCAGCAGGTCTGGCAGCATCTGTGAAGGGAAAAACAGAGTTAACGTTTTGGGTCCAGTTCTGAGGAAGAGTCACTGGACCCGAAACATTAACTCTGTTTTTTCCATGGATTGAGAATAAATGGACAGAAAGGGGAGAGTAAGAATAAATGGGTCATTTTAAGGTTGGCAGGCTGTGACTAGTGGAGTACCACATGGATCAGTGCTTGGCCTCCAGCTATTTATATTTTATATCAATTATTTGGATATGGGAATAAATGTAATATTTCCAAGTTTACTCATGATACAAAACTAAGTGGCATTGTGAGTTCTCAGAAGGTGCAAAGTAAGTAGGCTGACTGAATTGGAAAGAACATGTCTGATGGAATATGATGTGGAAAAATTTTGTGAGGAAAAGCTGATATGCAGAGTATTTCTTAAATGGTGATAAATTGGGAAGTGTTGATGTCCAAAGGGGTCCGGGTATCCTTGTTCGTGAGTCACGGAAAGCCAGCATTCAGGTACAGCAGACCATGA